AAAAAAAAAAAATAATACTTTACTGATAGATCACTAAATTTCACCGTAAAGAATCCCATTTTTTTTCTTTTGCCCCCAAAAAAAGAAGGAATATCTTCCTACTAGCTGTTGTTTTTTCCTTATCTACAGACAAAAAAATCACAAAAAAAAGTGCCGCTGGGATCAAATAATAAGTTATTAATTTCTCTTCTCTTCATGTATAAACTCAAATTTTTGGTAGTGTAGATTCAATTCGGTATAAAGTAATATGTACTAATAAATTCTAAAATTATCAGAGTTTAAAAAAGACCAAGGTTATCATATTATTAATTTGATTCTATTTATATTTTTGAATTTAATGAGTATGGGAACTTTTTCTCTTATTTGTGTATATATATATTTATAATTTTCATTATTTGTATGGTTACATTGTAGAAACCCAACCCACTAATTGAAGTAATAAACCCCAGCCTCAATTCGCTTTAAAATGCACTAGCAGTAATTATTGAAACATAAATTGAAAGAAAAAAATAGAAATTAGTAAAACGTACTATTTGAAGAAGTCCTTTAGCGCGTGCACCAAATCGCTGGAGGATGAAAGAGGGCGTCAAACTGGATCCAAGAAAAGAAGACCGTTCCTCGTAACCGGTGCCCTGTCTTCCCTATCTCTCTCTCTGATCTCTTTTGTTTTCTTATCGTCGTTTTTACTTATTTTTATATTATTTTATATTATTTTAATTTTATGTCACCAAGTTCAAGTTCCAGACCTACACTACAACTTTACTCTCCAAGCAGAGACAGAGAACCAGACAGGGACGTCTTTGTAACTCTTCACTCAACAAGATTGGGAACAAGAGGACTTTAAAAAAACACCAGCTTCCCAAAAACCAAACACACCCCAAAAAAAAAAAACAGAGAGAGAGAGAGAGCTTTTTAGGCTTTAGCAATGGTGGCCGGGAAGGTGAAGATGGCAATGGGCTTTCAGAAATCGCCGGCGCATTCGAAGCCAGAACCGCCGCTGAAGCCGCCGTCGCCGTCTCCGAGCTCGACGGCGAAGGTGTCTTCGGTTTTCTCTAGATCCTTCGGCGTCTACTTCCCCCGATCCTCCGCTCAGGTCCAGCCCAAGCCACCGGACGTGACGGAGCTCCTCCGCCTTGTAGAGGAGCTCCGAGAGAGAGAGTCCCGATTAAAGACCGAGCTTCTCGAGCACAAGCTGCTGAAGGAGTCCGTCGCCATTGTTCCGGTCCTCGAGAACGAGATTTCCAGCAAAGAAGCCGAGCTCGAGAGAGCTTCGAAGCGAGTCGAAGGCTTGGAGGCCGATAACGGGAGGCTGAGAAAGGAAATGGAGGAAATGAAGGTGAAGATTGAGGAAGAGAGGAGAGAAAGTGAAGATAAGGTGAAGAGAATGGAAGCTGAAATCGCGGAGTTGAGGAAAAAGGTTTCGGAACGCAGCCGGGCGGAGGTTTCGGCGGAAAGCGACGAGCTTTCGTCGTCGCAGAGGTTTCAGGTGCTAATGGAAGTTTCTGGAAGGTCGAATCTGATCAAGAACTTGAAGAGAGGGGTTAAGTCGACGGAAGCGGGCGCGAACCAGGAGATTCAGAGTCAGAAACTGGAAGCTTCGGATTCGAAGAGATATCTGGAACTAAGTCATGATCAAAGCGAGAGATCAAGGCACTCGAGGTGTAACTCGGAGGAACTCGTCGAGTCCTTCCACTCGGTCCTCTCCAACGTCAGATCTCGCGTTCCTAGGGTTCCGAAACCGCCTCCGAGACCGTCGTCTTTGTCTTCATCACCGTCGAATTCATCAACCGGAGAATGTGCTTCTGGCTCATCGGAAAACAGAGCTTCACCGGAGCAAACGATTCCGGCGCCTCCACCGCCTCCACCTCCGATAAAGTCTGTTCCTCCACCACCACCTCCGCCATCGAAAGCTGCTCCTCCTCCTCCACCTCCTCCGAAGAGTTTGAAGCCGATGCCGGCGAAGGTGAGAAGAGTGCCGGAGGTGGTGGAGTTTTACCATTCTTTGATGCGTAGGGATTCCCGGCGGGAATCCAACGTTCCCGACGTACCGGCAACAGCCAATGCCCGAGACATGATCGGAGAGATTGAGAACCGGTCCACGCACTTGCTCGCTGTAAGTTCCCGGTTACCGGTTATTTTTTGGTTTTTAACGTATTTACGAGCATTGCCACTGGCTTAAATGTCAGTGACCACTGACGAGCCCTGATGTCTTTATTGGTGGCTTCTACTCTTTTTTTTTTTTTTTTGGATTTTATTGCTTACTTGTAAGATAAGACAGTGCGTGGATTCTACATGGTCCATACTCCATGGGGTTCACTTTTTTCTTTTTCAAATCTAAAAGAGTAATATTTGAACGATTTGGGTGGCAGTTTCGTCAATTTTTAATTCCATAAATTTCATAAAAACTTATGATATGCAATCTCATCTAAGTAATATATATATATATATAAAGAGACTAAAACTATGAGACCTTTTTGGATGAAATGAAATATTCCTTTTGTGTTTCCTTGAATTTGATTTTGATGTGGTTGTTGTGCTTTAAATTCTACAGATAAAAACGGATGTGGAAACACAGGGCGATTTCATTAGGTTTTTAATAAAAGAAGTGGAGAATGCCGCTTTTACAGACATTGTGGATGTTGTGCCTTTTGTCAAATGGCTCGACGATGAACTCTCCTACCTGGTAAAATTCATTTCTTTTTACACTCACTATTAGTTATCAGTCATTTTCCACCAAAAAAAAAAAAGAGGAAATTATAATAAGGTTTGAGTTTCTAATTAATTAATTTATTTTTTCAGGTGGACGAGAGGGCGGTGCTGAAGCACTTCGATTGGCCGGAGCAAAAGGCCGACGCCCTGCGCGAGGCTGCATTTGGGTATTGTGATCTGAAGAAGCTTGAATCCGAGGCGTCGTCGTTTTGCGACGACCCTCGGCAGCCATGTGGCCCGGCTCTGAAGAAGATGCAAGCTTTGCTTGAAAAGTAAATACTATCACTCTCTAACAAAGCAATATACGTATAAATGTGCTCTAATTATTTATTTAAAACCTGTCACGCTTTAATTATAATAGATAAACTCATGGATGATAATGATTAATGATAATCATATTTTTTTGTAACAGATTGGAGCATGGTGTGTACAATCTCTCGAGGATGAGAGAATCCGGGACAAAGAGATACAAAAACTTCCAAATTCCAACGGATTGGATGCTCGATTCTGGATATGTGAGCCAGGTAATTTTTTTGTCCTTCTTAAACTTGCCTTTATTATCGTTAATAGGGATTAGGGTGCGATGACTCTTTTAGTAAATCACTAATGTGGATATTGGAGAGACAAAAACGGCACTTGGATTGCATTGTATACCATTCAACATAACGTGGTGGTTACATAAAGACAAAATAAGGGCTAAGGTTTATCCGCACGCTTTGCATGGGTACATGCGAAATCCCAGATTTCTACGTGTGGATCTTGTCTCCTCCGTGTTTCTTTTTGTTTTGGATTTATAAGCAAAATTAAGAATCTGATTCTCCAATATTGACTTTTTATGCCTTCCCATGTGTCTTAAACCACACGTTCTTTATTTTAAACCACAAAGTTCCTTAAATCCACCTAACCAGTAAAAGATTAGAAAGAGAAAGGTATAGAGAGTAGTTATACTTGCCTTTTTTCTTAAATATACTGTGACCCATGTGGGCGAATGTTATAATACTGGTTCTTTAATATCTAATATCTATACCCCAACGCCAACTAATTTTTTTGGTTTGTGCAAGTTCAACTATGCCACATAAAAGTACCAAGCTTTGAAGAAGAAGGCAGTCTACTCACTTTATGAACTAAGCTGGACAATGAATGTGATTTATAGCAACTCTTTGTGTTGGTTAGCTGAATGATTGTACTGACAAATGGGCGCACATTTTTGTTACAGATCAAGCTGGCATCGGTAAAATTGGCAATGAAGTACATGAAGAGAGTGTCAGCCGAGCTTGAGGCGGTTGGTGGCGGCCCCGAAGAGGAAGAGCTGATTGTCCAAGGAGTTAGATTTGCCTTCCGAGTTCATCAGGTAAAATGATTTTCCTTTTTGGACTGTAAAAAAAGTAGCTTGCAGTAAATTTTGAAGATTTTCCATTGCTGATATGGGACTTCGTATTTTCTTTCTTGCCCAGTTTGCCGGGGGATTTGATGTGGAAACAATGAGAGGTTTCCAGGAGCTGAGAGATAAATCATGCCATATACAATGCCAAAGCCAGCAACAACACAAATTAGTATGCTAGGTTCTACACCTTGCTAGGAACAAAAAAAATACCATTTGTAGCAAACTCAGCTTCAGAAATTGCTCTGATTCTTTGACCTCCCATCTAAATTTGTTGTAAAGATACAAGATTGTGTTTGTGAATATAATGGCTGCAGCCACTTTAGCTTCAAGATAATTTTTTTTATTCATCACCAACTTGATAACGTGATTGCTTAAATGCTTACTAGTTTTGACCACCCCACCTACTGACTTGTATTAGGTACTTTCTAATTGGAAAATAAGGGAATAAGAAACAGAGATCTTTAATGAATAATTAATTGGACTTGTATTAGGTACTTTCTAATTGGAAAATAAGGGAATAAGAAACAGAGATCTTTAATGAATAATTAATTGGGGATAAAAATTTAAAATTTGGAAACAAAAGGCCCGTCCGGTTTGAGAGGAACCGACAAGAACAAGATGGTGAAAAAAAAGAGCCGTTGCAACAAATTAAATTTTACTTGTGTTGGTCGTTGTTGTAAAAGGGTAAACCTTGAACCTATTCAAACTATTCGTTGCAAATAACAGCATACGAATTCTCAAATCATGATCCATTTTCTGCTTCGACCGTTTGAGTTTGACTTGGATAAACTAAAGAAAGTTTCAATAGGACGACAAATAAAACCCAAACAAAGTGCACAAGTACACTATTCATTAACCGTTTCAGCCCAAGAAAACAAAAAATATTGTTTGATAAAAAAAGAAAAAAAAGATTCCCCACAGAGTTTCAACTAATTGGAAAAAAAAAAAAAGAAAGAAATCGTTAATAGTTATGCCAGAAAAATTAAAAATAAATGAGAAATGTTTGATAAAAAAAAATGTCCCGCACAGAGTTTCAACTATAGCATTTTTATTAAATTATGTTACCTTATTCTTTAATTTAATACAATTTTAATACAATACAATGATTTTTTGTTGAATTCTGTTAAATTATTCTACACTTTTAATTTAATAAAATTTTTTTAAACTAAACTACGAGACTTTAAAAATATTGAAATAGTTTTCAGACTGATAAATGTAACTTTTTCTGTTTTTCATATATTATTATATGTTCGTATGTGTAACGCTTATTTATTTAAAGTAGTCTTAAGACATTATTTTAAGCATTAAATTTAAACAAACTGAACTGAATGTTACACACGACACAAGTACTGAACAATGTTACATGAAAAATAAAAAATTATATTTGTCAGACTATAACACTTTGCCTAAAATATATACTATCTGTATCTTTATTTATTTATTTATTTTTTCATATGTTACCGGGGAAAAGAGAGAGTGTAGTAAAGAAATATTGCATGTAATCCCGACTATGCCCCGGCAAACAAAATATTGCGAGCAAAGGAAATGACTGCCGGCTTCAGCTTGGTCCTAAGTTCGCCATTACCTTGTTCATCCACTGCGATTTGCTCTCACAGTAACTCCATTCATCGGAATCACCGATCAGCTTCAAACCCACAATTACTCTCTCCGATCACAAACCCGTCTCATCTTCGACCTCCTCGATTCTCTCGCCGCCTTAGGGCTTCATCATCAGCATCCGCCATGGAAGCCGAGCATACCCAAACCACCAATCCCAGCAGCGCCTCAGCTCCGCAGATGAAGCTCTTGTTCGTTGAGATGGGCGTCGGCTACGACCAACATGGGTCAGTATTGAATTTGAATATTTCAGCGCTTTTTTTTTTTTTTTAATTGTGAGATGACGAAAAATTTTGTTGTTGAATTGTGTGCGACAGACAAGACATTACGGCGGCTGCTATGCGGGCTTGCAGAGACGCCATCTCTTCAAATTCAATCCCTGCGTTTCGAAGAGGTATTTCTGAATCTTAAATGGATTTCTCTGCGTGGCAATTTTATGTGTAATTTTTGTTTTTCTTGTTGTTCAGTAACGAAATGTGAGATAAGTGAATTGGGTAATCTGATTTGTCAGTAAATTCTGAATAGGACTTGGTCTTTCTGTTTTGTCTTTGTTGACTCAATGTTGAATGGTCTGATTAGAAATTTAGATTTTGATTGGAGATAGGGTGGTCTTATGGATTGGAGACAATAATTAGGGAGATAAATTGTTGTGTAATCAGAGAAGATACAACTCAATAGCAAACTCCAATATCAATTACTAACAGTAACCAGGAAATATGAAGAACACCAAGAATTTGAGGCCAATCTCTTCAACCGAGAATCAAGCAAAGAAAACCAGAAGCACTTTATTGAAAGTCTTCATGAATTAAGAAACAATACAAGAAATCAGTACAATCACAGACAGAGCTTCATGAATTTTCCCCTCACAGCCCTATTGTTCCCTGATTCTCTCTCTCTGTTTCTCCGACTTCCCTTTCTCTCTCTTTACACATAACAGAACAGAAAAGAATCACCGCCTAACAAACTGTATCCTCTGTTATTTATATTACAGCATTAACAAAGAATAAATGGCTAACCGACTTAACAAAAGAGAAGAAAAATATTCTGCATGTTATCCACTTGTAACAAGACTGCCACATCAGCTTCCACCTCATCAAAGAATTGTCTCAACATTAACAATCTCCACATTGAGACTATTGCTTTCACCTTGACCTTACTCATCTTCACACTCACCGTTCTTTCCTGTAACTCGTAGAATGCTTCGGCAATGATTGAACTTTGCAGCTGGCAGTGACTTGGTTAGCATATCTGCTGGATTGTCCTCTGTTCTCACCTTTTCCATTTTCGGATCTCGCCGAGTTATTACTTCTCTGATAAAGTGAACTCTAATATGAATGTGCTTTGTTCTCTCATGGAACATCTGGTTCTTGGTGTGGTAGATAGCACTTTGACTATCACTGAACACAGTGACTGTTTCCTGCTTTTCACCAAGCTCATTAATCAGCCCCTTTAACGACAAAGCTTCTTTTACTGCCTTAGTAATGGCATTGAAAGAGCAACTACATGTTGTAGCGATGCTTTCCAACTAACCGTGCACCCAAAAACCTGAAACACAGAGCCTGTAAGAGTCCTCCTTGTATCCAAGTCACCTGCATAGTCTGCATCCACAAATTCCACCACACAGGAATCTTGCTTCAATTTACAAAGCAAACCTACTTTAGTTGATCCTCTCAAGTATCTCATGATCCACTTTGCTGCCTCCTAGTGAGATTTCCCATAGTTTGCCAAATACCTGCTCACAATACTCACAGCATGTGCTAAATCTGGCCTTATGCATACCATGGCGTACATCAAACTCCCCATCGCACTGGAATACGGAATTCTCTCTGCATATGCCTTTTCTTCATCTGTCTCAGGAGCATCCTTTGCTGTAAGCTTAAAGTGTTGAGCAATAGCAGTCACCACTGGTTTTGAATCTTTCATTTCAAACCTGCTTAGAACCTTTTCCAAGTACCCCTGTTGAGATAGAAACAATGCACCCTTGTTTCTATCTCTAATCTCAATTCCTAGTATTTTCTTTGCAGGCCCCAACTCTTTCATCTCAAACTCAGCTTTGAGCATTCTTTTCAGCTTATCAATCTCCTTAGAATCCTGACAGGCCAAGAGCATATCATCTGCGTACAGCAACAAATATATATATTTGTTTTCATTGACTTCTTTGAAGTAAACACAACTATCAAAATTACTTCTCTTGTAGTCCTTTTGAATCATGAATTGATCATACCGTTTATACCACTGTCTTGGGGACTGTTTTGACCCATACAGTGATTTCTTTAGCAAACCCCTGCTCAGATTTCCCAAGTTCCACAAACCCCTCAGGCTGTTTCATATAAACCTTCTCTTCCAATTCTCCATGAAGAAATGCCGTTTTAACATCCAACTGTTCCAACTCCATGTCAAAATTGGCTGTGAGAGCCATAAGAACTCTAATTGAGGCGTGTTTTACCACTAGTGAAAACACCTCATGGTAGTCTATTCCTTCTTGTTGAGTAAAACCCCTTGCTACCAACCTGGCTTTATACCTGGACTTCTCAACTCCTGGAATTCCTTCTTTTCTTTTAAAAATCCATTTGCACCCCACAACCTTTTGATTTTGAGGTCGAGGAACCAATACCCAAGTCTGATTTTTATACAAGGAGTTTAACTCCTTCATTGCCGCAATCCACTTGGCAGCATCTGTAGCCCTGACTGCTTTTGCATAAGATTGTGGCTCCTCCATCTGTATTCTCTATGCTGTTGTGAGTGCAAAAGAGATTAGGTCTGCATGACCATATCTCTCGGGTGGCCTGATCTCTCTCCTTGGTCTGTCCCTAGGAAGTCTATAGTCTCTAAGCCCTTCTTCTTGATGCTCCTCTCTGTCAACATTATGTGGGCTGTCCTCAGCTGTAGCACCCTCATCTAATTGCTGCTCCACCTCAATCGGAAGACTATCTTCATCCTCATTCCCACCCGAGTTAGCTGCTATTTGAATGTGCTTGTACATTTTGTCTTCATTGAAGACCACATCTCTGCTCAATATGATCTTTGGTTTGCCTGGACCAACACACTAAAGTTTGTAGGCTTTTATTCCTTCTGGGTAGCCTAAGAAAACACATTTTCTAGCTCTTGGATTCAACTTCCCATCTTTGGTATGTGTTGCCATAGTTCACAGGTTCTCCAGTCCATTTCTCCATAGGGGTCTTCATGTCAATTGCTGTGCAGGGACTTCTGTTGATAATATAAACTGCTGTCATTACCGCCTCGGCCCAAAACTGCTTTGACAGGCCTGAATAATTCAACATGCATCTCACCCTATCAATTATTGTTCAATTCATCCTCTAGCTTGTCTGTTCTGTTGAGGGGTATTGATAATGGTGTGGTGTCTTGCAATGCCATTATCAGCACAGAATTCATCAAATATCCCAACACAGAACTCTAAACCATTATCCGTTCTTAGCCTCTTGATTTTTCTCTCAGTTTGATTTTCTACCTTTGCCTTCCACTTTACAAAGTTGTCAAAGGCATCATTCTTATTCTTCAGAATGTAGACCCAAACCCTTCTAGAGAAATCATCCAAAAAGGTTACAAAGTACCTTGCTCCACCATGAGATGTTACCCCTTGAAGCACCCATAAGTCTGAGTGTATGTAATCAAGAACACTCTGTCTTATGAATGCCTTGACCAAACCTCACTCTGTGTGATTTACCCATAACACAATCTTCAAAGAACCCCAGCTTGGTTAACTTCTCACTTCCCAGGAGCCCCTGCTTCTCGAGTTCTTGCAGCCCTCTATCACTAATGTGACCTAACCTTCTATGCCAAAGCCAAGTCCTTGCTGTTGCCTTATCTTGAACACTGGAGACTTCCCCAATCACTGTTTTTGCCTGCAAGATATAAAGGCCATTTTTCCTCAAGCCTTTCATCAGCACCATGGAGCCTTTTACCACCTTCATTGTGCCTGCCTCCACCTTAATGCTGAACCCATTTTCATCTAGCATTCCCACAGAGATCAGATTTCTCCTTAACTCAGGAACTAATCTCACCTTCCTGATTGTTCTCACAGTGCCATCTTCTAGCTTGAGTGTAACATTACCAATTCCTGTCACAGTGCATTCCTTGTTATGTCCTAACAACACTTTCCCTCCATCAATCTTGCATAAATCTGAGAGCCAAGATTCATTTGGAGTCATGTGAAAGGAGCACCCAGAATCCAAGACCCATTCATCCTCAGACTTCTTGTCAAAGATTGCCAAAACCTCATAACTCCCAGTGCTTTCATAGCCCTCAGAGGCAACATCAGCATCTCCTGAATCTTTTTGATTCTCAGCCCCCTTCTTTTTTCTTTCTGGACACTCACGCTTGAAATGACCTGGTTTGTGACATACAAAGCCCTTCTTCTTGGTCTTTGATTTAGATCTCGGTCTATCCTTATTCTTGAACTCTCTCTAATCTGTTCTTCCCCTAGCCACTAATCCCTCTGCAGAGTCATCCTTAAGCTCTGACTTTTTAACTCCTTGGACATCAGAGCTGATTGGACTTCCTCGAGAGTCAGACTTTCACTACCGTATATCATTGTATCTA